AAAAAAATGCCCCTCAAACAGAAGCGCTGAGGTACGCTTCATTCATATCTGTCTACGGAAAAGTATCTAAGTTCGACATAAAAACAGCGGACCTGGAAAATATCAAAAATCTTACCAAAAGTAGCGAACGCGTTTTTATTAAGGTCTGCGTCACAGCGCTGTGTGCATTGCCGTCGGTGGGGAGATGCAACTGCACTTGTCTGCTGTGCCATGCCGTGCCGCTCTGCTGCACAGTTGGTAAATGTAAAAGCAGTGAGCGCAGTTATGCCCTGGCATTGAGCGCTTGCAAAGCCGTTGCTGGCATTTTTCTACTGAAAATGTGCCATGTTGACAGTCAGGGCCGCGCGCTACGACGCTCTGGGATGCCGTCGTAAATGCGTGATAAATGTAGCTGAAATTTCGGTCAATGTTATCACTACTGGCAGCAAATGGCATTAAAGGCCGGCAGGAAGCCGATTTGTAGCATTTTTGAGGCACATCGCAAGGGTAGGTGCGGGTGAGGAAGTTATTGAAAATCAATTGAAGGAGACTTCATACGTACTTGGCGAAGCATAAAGCGATAGGATGAAGTGAGAACTCGATAGTGAGCTCTTTTTTTCAGACTAAAATTTAGTTACTAAAATATCTAAGAAGTTGAAAGGAAGTGATGCATATTTTTGGATTGTGGCTGGGCGATTACAATTGCCTGTTGTCTGTACTATATAGGTACATATGTATGTATGTATTTAAGTTTCGTCTCTAACAACACTGATACTTGCATTTTTTTTTAGCCGAACGAAGAGATCCGGAATATCTTAGGGTACTCGTTCAGAAAGCAGCAGATTAGAAAGATTAGATAAGATAAGAATGCTTTTTTCAATCAGAGCATTGAACCAGGTGATAAATTCTCCAGACACTTGAGATAGCGGTACTGAGGAAAGAGTTCGGCTACATCAACTTAGTGGCCATCGTGGCAATTAATAATGGAGCACACAGCCATACAAACAACCACACATACACAAGCATGCAATTTTGGGCAACTGTAGAGTCCTTCTGTGAGATTGTTTATGGGAATGTGTGAATGCAGTACCTAGTTCTAGTGTTTGCTGGTAACCGCAATGAACAGCTCTCCACGAAACCCCCAACCACCGCAGTGGATGTGGTCGCTGTGGCATGGCGTGTTTGTGGCTCATTGACTCGCCACTCCTCGTCGCCATATTGCCAAAAACAGAGTAATTTGCGACCGAATGTGGAACGGGGTACAAAATATACTAGTCTAGTATGTTTGTTTGTGTGCGCTTATGCCTCTGTGTCGAAAATCGGAAAAGGACACAAACAGCGTAACTGGTATGACAAGTGGGGTGTAGTGGGGCTACAGCATTGGTCACAAGCGATGTGCAGAGTATGTGTGTAAGTATGTAGGATGTCGTGTTGTTGGCAAAGCGATAATTTCGCAGGTAACCATTTTTACATTTACATTTTCACCTAAACGCCACCCAACTCACACAAATCTGAGTGAGAGATGGAAAAAGCGAAAGCGTTAAAAATGTGCTACCTTGACATATTCACATATACATATACAAAAGTATATACAGTGAATCAAATAAATGACCAAGTGTTGCTTTTTTTCTTTCAATAAAAAGATTTTCAAAGAATTAACCAAAACCATATAAGTTAGAGTTTCTAACTTTATAAAAAATTTAAGAAAATTTCACCGAAATTTCAACTACTAAATGTAAAAATGTTTGGGCACGCAGTTTTATAGGCATACAATTTTAGTCTATCTAATGAAGCGCAATTTTCAAATGGCTAAAAATTCCTGTTGATTTTTGAGTTTTTTTTTTGTGACGGATTTTTACACTTTCTTCCATGCAAGCATGAGTTTCTTAGGCTATGTTCACACAGAAAGCGGGGCCGAGCCGAGCGAGGCCGTTCTGAGCTCAGAGAAGCTTTCAAATTGCTGTAGATATATGAAAGTGTTCATACAGCAAGCTTTTTCATAAGCGTTTTGGAGCTGAAAGCAAAGCAGTTTATAATTTTGAATTTTCTATTTAATTTTTATGTTTCGTGACGCTGTTGCAAATAAAATATCAAAATATTCATATAAAACGAATTTTACAACGAATCTTTTGAATAAAATTGAGCGAACATTTTTTTCGCTCTTCATTGACGACAAGTTTTGTGGTATGTTTGCAGTCCGCGAGAAAAGCTCCGCTACGCTTCGTTCAGTGTGAACATCAGTAGCTTCGCTTAGCTCGGCTTTCTGTGTGAACGCACCCTTATGACATAAAATGCGGGAGACCGTTTTGTTATTTACAATTACTATGTATATAAAAAAACCACGCGAATTTTTAGCCGGTTGCACATCATAAGACTAAAACTGAATGGGCTATAACACTGCACAACCAAAGGCTTGCACAATATTTTTATAGAAAAAAAATAGTGATCTCGAAAAACATTTGGAAAAATTTTCAAAAAAACCGTGTTCATTTGTTTGAGTGAGCGTATGTATATTTGCACATTTATAAATTTACCATTGACTTACACCACAACAGTCTGGCTATCAGCGCACAGAGTCAAACTCTTTTGTATAAATTGTGTGTGTGTGTGTGTGTGTGTGTGTGTGTGTGTATGTCCTCCACATTTAGTTCATTTGTACGGCTTTCGTTTGACCCCGAGCCTCGCCATCTGTAATCCGCTGGTTGTAGCTGTAACTGTAACTGGGCTGTTTGTTGCAAAGTGGAATTCGCGTGCGTCCATCACGACCACTTGATCGATGTATTCTCATCGATTTGTTGCTGCTTCCAATTGCATGCTTGCGCTTCCTCCCTCAATACGCTCAGCGTTAAGGATTTTGGGTTTTTTGTTGGTGTTGTGATTTTTTATTTTATATATTGTTTTTTTTTTTTTAATTTTTGCAACTGTTTCCACGATAGTGTTTTTGTTGAATGTTTCAGTTTTTCGTTTTTGCTCTGCAAGAATTCGCACTTTTGCGCCACTCTCGACCACCACTGCGTCAGCAAAACAAATGAAATATCGCCGAATATTGTGCTGAACACTTTTCCGTTGAAGGTTATGAGTTAAAGAGAAGCAAAAATACGCGACCCAGGCACAAGGTTGCCAAATTTGGAATTCAGTTTTGGAAAATATGTGTTTTTTTATTATAAGTAAATTAAGAGGTTTGGCGCATAACTATTCGACAGATATCCCAGCGGTTTTTTTTTGGCGCCTAAAAGTATGCTATCGAATATGGGTAAAGGAATTGATAAAAACTTGGAGCGATTCTCGAATGCCTAATTGCCGAACTTAATGAAGTAATGAATCTGAAAAGGAGAATGGCAACTGACTTAGTCGCTGGTCTCGGTTCAAACCGTTAAACAGAATAAAAACATGGAAACTATAAACGCACTTAATTCAAAAGCTCTTTTACTCTATTTGGAAGGACAGAATAGAGTGTAGATTACAAGTCAGCACACTGCAAGTAACTAGGTATATTGAAAAGGTCGAAAGGATTTTTGCTTCATCGAAAACTCAGCTGCTAACAGCGCCATCCACCAGATACACGCATGCATGTTTCAAGATTAGATTCGTCTGTACAGACAGCCATACCCAATTAGCACTGTGTCCGTAGCTGAATCTAGTAATTTCGAGGAATTTTGTACAGGATTTGACAGGATATATAGTACGATTTAGAAACCCTCAATTTATTTGCTAGGAACAGTTTTCTGAATTATCCGAATTGTTGGCCGGATGCAACTGAAAATTCCGTTTTATTTTAAGAGTCTATTTCATGGGTTACTTTCGGCTGCAACAATTATTTAGTCGTATATACCACTTTTTCATTTGTATTCCAAAAATAGATACTGCTGTATTTTCCAAAATACGAATTTTTTTTTTTACTACCTACTTTTTTTAAAGCAGAGAAGTAATATAGACCTTGTGAGTCGTTGATACACAACGATATAAGCTAACAGCGAATTGTTCATGAAAACGAGTTATAAAAATGCATATTTGTACACTAGGGTGGTCCAAAAATGCATACGAAAAAGTAAAGTCGGAATTTTTATACTCTAACCCCCATGTATTTTATATGGGGAAAACACAACTTTTCGTAGAAATGGTATATAATAGTTAAAAATCAATATTTTTCTACCAGAAAACTCTGTATGTGTGTTTCTGCAGGAGATTCCCAATAATAATACCCAATTGTTTATTAACCACTTTCACTATAATTTATAGGTCCGCAAAGAACCCACCAAAACCCCGAAAAATGCAATGGGGCGACCAATAAAAAATCATTAGTATTAAAATTGGTTAAATAAACGATTGGGTATTATTATTGCAAGTCTCCTAAAGAGAACCAGAGATTTCCGATCGAAAAATATTGACTTTCAAGAATTCTATACCATTTCTACGAAAAAGTGTATTGTTGTGCAACTTTGTAGAATTTTTCTAGTTTTTTGTTAGAAAAAAGATACGAGCGTTATGTATACGGAAAAGGTACTTTAAATATGTACTTGTAGGCGCTATCTACTTAAACACGCTTTCAATATTAAGTTAGCTTGCAGAAACGTACATAGCGTGGTGATAAAGCTATACAAATCACCTTTCACTCCACCAGTAATCTGGCAACACTGTGGCCAATAACGAAAACCACACACTTCGTGTTAACAACTATCCAAACAGTTATTGCCTACATATTTATCAATGTTGAGCCGATATCAGCCATTTCTGCCTCGGCCGCCGTCGCTGCCGCTGCTGGTGCCACTGATATGGTCCTTGAAACAAACACCAATGCAATAACAGTCCACATGGGATTGATGGTGGCACCGAGAGCAAAATAACAGCATTTGCAACTAAATAAGCGAGCATGTAGAACGCACAACAACAATAGCAGCAGCAGCAGCAGCAGCAATAAAAACGGTCAGCAAAATACCTACTCGTAGTACAATTGCAGCAAAACCCAAAAAACAAATTACAAAACACTACTCGCCCAAATGCAACTACTACGAGGTACTTACATTCATTTCCCGGCATCGTGTGTCCCGTTAGGCCTTGCATACCAACACCAACACCAACACCACCACCGCCGCCAACGCCAACACCAACGCCACTACCCGGGTGATAGCTATAGCCATTTTGTGTTGCGTAAAGTGCACTCTTCTGGTCCTCCATGCCCAAGGCGAGATCCATCGAATGTTCAAGTGCTTTGTTATCGAGTCCACTTGCCGGATAGTATGGCGGCGGCGGCTGACTCTGCTGGGCAGCAACAATCGACGGACGCACCGAGTCCATTTCGTAATCCTTGGCGGCAGCACTCTTTTTCGATTGATTGCGTTTGCAACGACAGAACATCAACAATAAACCGACAAATAATGCGAATACAATACAAGAGACGATTATGGCGATCAGGGTGGGTGTGGCCAGGGCGGATGCCTCAGCGATGTACGTGCGGCCAACTGCAAAAAAAAAAACAAAGAAGAAGAAAAAGTAGAGAAATGAGAATGAGTTGAGGGCGCTCGGAGGCGAGGTGTGTAGAAGGAAAAAACTGGCAGCCCCACTGATAAGTGTCAGCGAGTTGAAGGCAACTGTGGATGGCTGCGAAAGTGTGTGCGCTATTAAATCGGCGCGCTGATGTGTGGCAACATGCGAAATGCTGTCAAGGATACAAAAGTTGTGGCAGCACATAAGTACTTTCGGGGGCATGTAGCCAGCGCCACCTACTGGCATGTGCTCTGCGATACGTGTTTGCCTAAAGTAGATTGATGACAGGGAAATGGCAGTCACACGGTCAGCCAGCTAGTGGATGCCCGGACAAACGAAAAAGCGGACAATGGAATAAACAAACGCCCGTTTGTGCACAATTTTTAATCGAAATTCCAAAATGCCAGTCGAAAATTTAAGAGTTAACAAGTGGCAGGCACATGACTGCATTGAAAGAATTCCCAAAATGAGCGAAAAGTGTTGACCACATCACATGTGAAAATCCCGCCAGTATAAAATGCGCTAGACATTAAGTACTCGCATCATGCCACAACGCGCGCACACACAAACTTTGCCCAAAAAACCGCCGCTATGACACATTTCCCCTTAATTATCTCTTTCTCTGTACTCTACATATCTGTAGTACTTACTTTCCGCATTGGTGTGCTTGCCGCAGTGCTCCTGATTCGATCGCAGGCATAGTTTCACACGCACAGTCGGTCTATTATCATCCTCCAATGCCAGTGTATTCATGTCGACATCATCATCGTCATCATCGCCATCGCCATCACCATCACCGCCATGACCACTTAGGTGATTGTGCCCCAGCGAGCGTCCGCCGCCACTGCGATATGCCGGTATGGAGCGATTAATCACGGTCTCCTTAAATGTCGGTCCATTGCCGGAAAGCTGCAAACTCACTGTGTCGACAACCTCCCACTGTGCCATCGGTGTGTCCATGTTCACCATTGACTCGACAATGGCGACCAGCGAGAGACAGGTGGCGCCCACATTGATGCCCAAGGTGTGCGTATTCGGATCGTAGGTGACGTGCAGAGGCGGTGGGATTTTGCTCACCTTAGTGGTGGTCATTATTTCGTTGGAGTATGGCGAGTTGCCTTTTGTGTTGAGTGCATTCACCTTGAAAGCATAGCTTTGATGCTGGTCTAGTGAGGTGACCTTGCAGGGATTGTCACGCTGGCAGTCGAATTCCAACCAATCAGTGTTGCTTGTGGCGATTGTGGCGCAGTCGGGTATCAGTTGCTCCTCGCGCGGCATAGGCACGCGGCGATAGCTGACAAAGAATTTGGTGTTGCTCAGTCCACCATCGAAGCCCGGATCCCAGCTGAGCGTGACATAATTGGAGCCCACATCTACGGCGCGTGTGTTGGTCGGCTTCTCGGGTGGTCCTTTCTGTTGTAGGCGTATGGGCGCGCGTATCGTGTCCAGTGAGTTTACCACACGGCAGGTGTACTCGCCGTAATCGGCGTGTGTCAGCGAGTTGATGCGCAGCACCGAGGTGTAGATGTCGTTATTGTCAGTGGTGGTGCTGATTTCGTAGTGCCCATCGGAGGACATTGTAAGCGGTGAGGGGTTATTGCCGAACTGCCATTGGAATTCGGGTTTGGGGTAGGCCTGTACCTTGCACACCACCTCGGCGGTTTCGCGTATATCGAAGGCCACCTTGTTGTACTGATGCAGCACAATGGGCTCGTGCTCAATGCGCAGTTGCATGCTCGAGTTGGCCGAGTTCACCTCGTTGGCATACAGACAAGTGTAGAGGCCGCGATCGCCGGGCACTAGCTGATTGCCGTTGGGGCGCGCTTTGCCGCGGAACTTCAGCATGCTTTGCACGGTCACCATGCCGTTGGGACCCTGATCTGGATTGGTTTTCACTTCATACAGATTTAGCTCAGGCAGGATTTCCACGCCGTCCTTGAGCCAGCGTATGCTTGGCGCCGGCTTGCCTTTAGCGCTGCACGTGACGGCGTAGTCTGTGTCGGCCACCCGACGCGTCATGTGCTGCTGCAGTTTAGCGAGGAACTGCGGCGGTTGATGGATCTCAAGCACAATTGTAGCCATCTTGCCAATTCCCAACTCATTTACAGCATGGCAATGGTATTTCCCCTCATTTCCCAAGTGAGCTTTCGGTATCGAGTACTGTGGCCCTTGCGCCAATATCTTCTGTGTGCTAGAGAACTCGCCGTCCATGTCGCGGAACCAGCGATACTGTGGCACTGGCCAACCGGGCGGATTAGCTGAGCAAGTGAGCGTTACACCGTTGCCCACATGCACAATCGGCTTGTTCGGTGTTATGAATGCCTGACCAGGGCGATGACGCACCAACAATGCCACCGTGGAATTGCCAACGCGTTCACTGCGTTCTTGTCCATAAGATTCCATTATATTCACAGCACGACAGATGTAATTGCCTGCATGCTCGGCACGCACCGACGACAGTGTGAGCACTTCGCCCGAGTAACGGAATTCGGGTGAGCCCTCCTTCAGCCATTCGATGGTAATTGGCGATGGATTTGCGGTCACATTGCAACGGATATTAACCGTTTCGCCTTCCTCAGCCTCACGCGTTTTCGACTCTATTACAACGGTGGGCGGATACAGTATATCAAGTATGAGCACACTTTCGCCCGACTTGCCGAGTCCATTATCTGCTGAGCATGTGTATTTGCCACCATCCTGCGAGCTAACACGATGTATGGTATGCACCAGGGAGGAACTAATGAAGCGGCCATCGCGTGTCCAACGTACATTAGGCACTTTCGGCTTCGCATCGACATTACATTCCAATTTGGCAGTGCGATCACGTTCCACACGAAGTGGATTTTCCGGACCGACATCAACGCGCGGGAAATCTGCAAATATAAAAACACAAAAAAAAATAATGAAATAAGAAAATATTAATAAACATGAATACATTTGATGATGGTAGTGATAATCAAAAAGTTGTAATTGAATTTAGAAAGCGAAAAGAAGCAAACGTGTAGGAATGCAGCGGCCACTGGAAGGAGTTGGAAGTTGGCGAGAGACAAATTATGGAGAAGTTGGAATTTTTTCGCATGGATGGATTAGCGCCGGACGTGGGAGTTCGTCATTGATGATTAGGCAAGAAATTTATGAAAGGACACGCAGCGGCCAATGAACGGCACTGATTAAGCACGCAGTGGCTACGAGTAAACTTAATTAATGCCAAGAAAAAAGGGAAATCTCTGCTAATAAACAGAAATGAAACGCGAGAATTGCTAAGCAATGGGCGTTAATTGGACAATAAAGAAAAGATAAAGAGAGGCATTAGTGTGGGATGATAAGAAAGTAAGTAAAAAATGATGAATAAAAATGAGTATTGGGCTAGGGAGATAGGAATGAAGGAATGGACACGCGCATGTTAGAAGAGGAGCTAAATCATTCTAATGGCACTGGTGCGTGCAGCTAGATATTCATATGTAAGCAGCCAATTATTCAATTTAATAAATCTGTGGTAGTGGGATATATGTATAACAATTTGAATACATTTTTGTAAAATAAATATCGAAAAATACGAAACCGATAACTAGAAGTTTTATGATAACAATAACATATTTTAAAGAATAATGTTATCGATAACGATCAAAATTTTGATATCGGAAAAGGTATGCGATAAATAAACACCAACGTCGACGATATCGATGAGAGCTCTAATAAAAATAATTCAAAGAAAAATGCTATGAATAAAAGCTCCTGTCGATAATGGCGAAAATTCTGATATCGAAAAAATTGTTGATATCGATAACATTTTCTGTATCGATATCGTTTTCGATAATTTAAACGCTGAGAGTGTCGATTTTGATGCCGATTGCAAAGACAATGACATCATCGAATACGATTTTTTTAATGACAGAAATAAAGAACCAGTTTAAGTAAATCATAATATTGACTAAGTTTAGAAATTATAAATACAATGGAAGAAATGTCTGCATTGATATTAGTAAAGACATATATTCCTACAATAATGAAAGCGCTTCTAATTATCGATATTCGAAGGTAGTTATCGATTAATATCAAATTTTTTTAATTCAAAAAATTATGGCAATATTTCCCAGTTTTTTAAATTGAAAAAAAAAATTAATAATTCCATATCAAACCCTCCCTACATCATTCGAATTGCAGCTGCTTAAGTTGCCGCATGCCTAATGTAAAACAAAATATTGCCTGGCTGCGAGCGGAAAGAATTTTTCTCTACTCAATAAACCACAAACGGTTTAGCTTGAAGCATTTGTAAAAATGCTCACTAAAGGAAAAAAAAGCTGCAATGGAAAAAGCCAACGCAAAGTTTCGCCTGAGGAACGAGTAGCCACCACCAATCTACCCATAGCAGCACACTAACTACGCCCGTTTGCCACAACAGCGTTGCAATTAAAAAGTCTTAGCCGCATGCTGACTGCCCGAAAGCAACTGTCAGCAAGGTGTGCTGCCTCCCACCTCTGCGACGACTAGCCTACTCCCCGAGTCGGTGGTACTCAAACGGAATGCACGAAGGCCGTCGGTCGGGGGCGAAATAGGGACACTCAGGGAGAAACCCATGCTGCTGAGTTAACAGTCAAGCTACGTCGCTACACTATTACCTGAAGCACTAATACCACTTCAGCAGGCGGAGTAAGTGGAACTGTTGCACTAAATACCAGCGAGTTCTTAGTTGCACTGCATAGTAAACGTCTGTTTAGTAGTAAGGAGCGAGTGGTGCACTGCACACTTCTTAATGACACTAATAAAGTCGCGAGTACTTGTAAGCTCGAAAGCAAAGTAGTGAAATAAATAAAGCGAAATAAAAAGACAAACACAAAAAAAAAAATGCCTACACACATAGCCACAAGTAAAGTAGCAACAATTTAGAATTGAAGCGCAAATGCGAAGGATTGCAAGAAGCAAAAAAAAAAAACACCAGGCGAAAGAAACAAAGCTTGAAAGTGGAAACCAAGTGAGCGACATGTAACAACTTGAGATTGAGGCGCAAACCAACTAAGTGGATTGCAAAGAAGCTATGCGCCAAGTTACTGATAACTACAACTTAGAGAGAAGAGCGAAAAATTATATCATTGCCGCTGTTGCCGCGCTGCGTTTATCGGCACTAGTCCTGTGGGCGGTAACCTATAACTAAGAAACAATCATTTATCGCAATCAGGTGTTTACTGCAAGGCAACTGTGCACTTTTTTCCGCTGCAAGTTATAAAAAAGAAAGTTGTTGGCGACTTAATGGTTATGCACAGGTTGCGCATTGTCGACACAATGAGAGCCTCCAGTTCAAATGCATTCGCTTGCAACCATTTAGCGAAAGTAACGAGGTTCTTTGATTTGTATTTATTCTTGCGAACTATGTTTTCTCCTTGAACGTATTTAAGAAAAATACAGCTGGGGGTGATAATTTTGTTCGAAAGTGTTGATAAGAAGAAAAGCAATTGGCATAATTGTGTGATAAACAAAAAAAAAAAAAAATGGAATAGTTAATGACTTTTACAAAACAAAGGAAAAATGATTATTTTCTTAACAACTTTTACTTCGCTTAACTGTCACTGTTAATGAAACCATATTCAGACCTTTGGAATTCCTAAATCCTGATCGTTGTGAAAGGAAAGCTACAGCCGGTGTCACAAGAAGTTAATCAACTCGAGGTTCACATACTTCACACTTGTTTGTCTTATTTTCTAACCTCTAGTGGGCTACTTGGTGTTCTAATATGTACAAACGGTCTATTTTACGCCGGCCCCGAACGGCAGGTGGAAAAATTATGGACGGAAGAATTAGACTCAAGAGTTTTGCGTTTTCCTGCGAAGGAGAGACCCACAACAAAGAGCTGAAAGGGCCTGACACCAGGCACAGTAAACTGGATGTTAATAGCGTCTTACCCATCCTCTTCTATGGGACCACCGTATGATGGCTGGATTTGGATAAGGCCCATATAGATACCAACTGGATAGGGAGCAACCGGGCTGCTTTCATAGCTATCAAGGGAGTCTTTAGAACTTTTACTAAAGTTTCTTCCTATCGTTACGGTACGTCTCGGTCAGCTGCAAAGCGAGCGGATGGAACGTGCAGAAGACATATATTCGGGACCTCAAAACTTGGACCCAGTATTTCGTAAAGGTCATTATCACTTTGATGTGGGTATACGGGCAAAGCGAAACTTTCTAAAACTACGCAGCAAGTGAGCTCAGAATTAAGAAAAACAACCTACATATAATTAATTAATTCTGTGCATAATGCAGAAGTCCCCCACTCAGACCAGTGTTAATTTAATTGGCAATCCCTAGATTGGTAAAAGATCCCAATCGTTGGGCTGCTAAGCAACGGTTGTATTATTACTGAGCACCGATTAATGGGAACACATGCGATAAGGGGGATGAGCTGCACTGGAAGAAATTCATATTTTCAGAGACGAGGAAGAGCTGAAGGGTGTCGAGCGTTGCCGCTCTATGGAAAAAATAGTGTTCGTTCAGAATACAAGGGGGTTCCAGGGTGGTGTAGAGTGTCAACTACCGTAGCCGAATGATATTTCAATGTTAGTGCAACCATTTTTCACCTTCTATGAATTTGGAAAATTTCGATTACTACCTAACTTTGGTTTCAAAATGCTGTTATTTCTTTCAAAAAATGGCGTAGTTTCAATATTACGCACAGAAGAGAAGTATGCCCTCGAATCCTATGTTGGCGCACGAAATTGCTTGAAAAGAAGTTTTCAAAAAATTCTGGCCGGAACTGCATGTCGCAAGAGCTGAAAATGCGACCGCAAGCATATCGTTACTTGTGTTCTATAGCAGAAAATGCTGATACGATCTTACTGTATATCTAGCTCTCAAAACAATGTGCAGCCTTGCAAAAGTTACTACCTCACACAGGATAAGCTTATAACTCTAATATCTTCTTAAGTCAAGTCAAGACAAATCCAACTAGAAACAAAGCACAAAAAGATAAGAAAGGCTAAGCACGCTAAAACTTCGTGAAGGATGTGAAAGAGTGCAGAAAGAAAACAAGGCTAACAAACATTTATGCAAATAGAAAACTAACAAGGAAACAAGTCGGAGGCTAGCAACATAAGGCAACTGAATGCGGAAAAAACGCAGCAAAGCGAGAAAAAACAGAAAGAAAAAGGAGTGAGCACAATTCCTAAGCAACACGAGACAAAACTACTAAGTCACATGAGGGTCAATAACATTAACACAGAGTGGAACAGAGCAGCAGTGAATGCAGCCGCCGCACAAGTTAATAAATGTAAGCGCGCAGGCGGATGTGCGCCAAGCGAAGCAAGCCAAACAACTCACAAGAAAAACTTCACTTCTAACGGAAGCATGACGAAGTTGTAAGGCTTTAGCCTTTCGGCAAAAAATATGCGCACAAGCCAATTTACATATGTATGTATGTATGTACAGAAATTAATGGTTTACGCTAAGAAGGTTTAAAGTCACACTAAATGGTAGAATATGTAAAGTGAGATGTCTTAGGCGGCTTACGAGACCTCAAGCCATTGGGCTACAACTTTGCTTAGGCGCCGAGGTCTTCGAAGCAAAATAAAGTCTAGATTGCAGCACTCATATACTCATACATATGCGTATATATGTATGTATGTATAGCATATGGCTAATTAAAAGCCCATCATTAATTGTCAACTAAGAAAAGCTTCCAACGAGGCTGAACAAATATCTGCGGCGAGAAAAGGTTTGGCTGCAACCGCACCATTCGATATGCTTGTGCGCCTTCCACTTTCCAACTGTACGAACCGAACTTTAACACTCGCATTTCAAACGCCGATGATAGTGTTGAATTTGATTGCGTCTAACGCGCGTTTGCCTCATCTGGTAGCACAAAACAGACTCAATTAATATCC